GTTCCCAAAACTACAGTAGATCCCTTGTGGATACTGCATGCAGGGTAAGTCTGCACAGTAGAGCTAAGTGTCGATACTGCAGCCTCTGGCTGGATAGTTGCTTCTTGAGAAGTACGAGTAGTGTTGCCTAAATGAAGTTTTGTATGATGACGGCCATGACAAATTTGACAGCTGCTTTTAGACTGACATTTATTTATAGAATGAGTACGTAAACAATTAAAACACAATTTGTTATCAATGACAAACTTTTTACGATCAGCTGGTGTCATTGAGTTGAATTTGTGACAAGTATAAATACCGTGATCACCTCCGCAGCAGTAACATGTATAAGGGAGTTTGACCATAAATGATTTTGATGAATTTGGTTGAGCGCTATTATGGCTGCTAGAGTAAGAAGTAGATTTGGATCCCATGACAGCTTCCAAAACTTTAAGCTGATTTTCCAAAAATTCAAGTAATTTGTTAAAGGTTGGAATGTCATTAGTTGATTCTCGTTGATGATCCGCCTCAAATTTGCTCCTCAAATTCATAGGAAGCTTACGTAAAATTATGTGCAATAATATAAAACTCCAAGAGTTTGTTTCAAAACCTAAAGCATTTAAAGCTTGAATATTTTCCTTAAGTGCATTAACAAGTTTCCGTAAGTTGCTGTTAAGTTGATTTGTATTTATGTTTATGTTTAAAATAGCTTCTAAGTGTTTATCTGCAATTAATCTTTTATTTTGATATCTATCCTTTAATAAATTGTATGCAATATAGTAATTGCCTTCTGAAAGTTCTAAGTGTTTGATAAGATTCAAAGGTTCCCTATCCAGCACTGACAGTAAATAGTGCATCTTTTGTACACTAGGTAGCTCAACATTATCGTGCACTAAACTATCAAACATTGCTATGAAGTTAGGCCATTCAGTATAAACACCAGAAAATCTAGGTAATGTTATTTTGGGTAAAGAAAAATGTGTTGACTTATGTACCGTATTTGTTTGTAATTCATTTGACGTTTGAGGTTCGTTTCGTGGAACTAAATCACTTAATATCTGCACTGAATAATATTTATCATAAAAAGTACCAAACTGCTTTTCCAACTCAGCTTTAAAACTTTCATCTGTTGACATTGCGAATAAAAAGTCGTGAGCGTCCTGGAAATTGTTACGATATACTTCAACGTCACGCAAACGAACCTTAAACGATGCTAATAGTCCAGGGTCTCGTTGAGATTGTGAACTAAGTTGATTTGCTAAATTATATAAAGAATCCATAAACTTCATGTTTGCATTCAATTTCATAGTAGTAATTGCGCATCTTGGTGCATCATCCGACACTACAAGTTTGGATTTTCCTTTCTTATTCGATGCCATTATGTAAATAAATCGATATTCAATAGAATTTAACTAAATTAATTTAAAAATTCAAAGGTTGTTTTGAAATATTTTCAACAGTGACAATGACAAACTTCAAACACGAAAAAAAAAGTTTAAAAAAGTAATTTATAGCAATGGATTCAAACTGATTTGCTAGTATCGGTTGGATATTGAGATAGTGATGTGACTGAATGAATCAATATTGACATTCAGTCAAAGAGTAAGGCTGAATGATACAAGTAATCACAGATTATAAAGATAAAATAAAAATATTATGACTTTGATAATTTTCTACCCACAAAACAAAAAATATTTGAGAATTTGGAAAAATTTTTACCCACGAATTATGATGATTGGCAAAAATGATAACGCAACTTTTGGAAAGAAAATAGATGATTACTAGGATGATTATCGGGGAGAAGGACCAAAAAGGATTATGTGCGGGACAGAAAGTGATTTGGACTTACGATTTGTTTTCTCCGATAGCCTTTAGAGCAGCGCTGGTCTGCCTGTATTTTCGTAAGTTTCCGGATGTTGTAGGAATGTTATCTTGAGCTAGTCCTAACTGTCCTTCACGTAATCTTGGTGATTTGATGATGTTCCTTTGTGCTCGTTGAACAACCGACGCGCTGACTATATGTTATTTGGATCGGGACTTTTCAAGTCGTCCGGTCGCTGTGGCGTCGTAGTAGTAACAGGCAGCTGACAGATACTGCCTGTCTACCCTCGTATTACAATTATAAATCGTCCAAGGGATAGGAAAAGGTGGGTAAGCGGATGTAATGTTACGTTATACGCATTCAATATATTTGAAACCGAACAAGTAGTTATTCATTTTAAACAAGCATACTTACATATCCAGTGAAAAACAACTAATAAATAAGCATTTCTAAAAAACGGAACAACAGCGAGGGTCAACGACCGACCGCGCCCGCCAGCCTTTGAGTGAGTAGATACACAGGGCTCAGCTGACTCCTTTGATTCCACATAATACAATAAATTCGTCTTAGATGCCTTTATTGAAATAATAAGCACAAATGTCATCTTCTCTTAAGCAGAGAAAAACTTTAAAAGTTATTAATAATTTTGTCACGATTGGAAATAGGCAAATGTTAAACAAAAAGAAATACTTATTGCAGTTCAATACTTGGGTCAGAATGAAATTTATAACCAGGCATTCAAAAGTACTTACGAAACCGATGTACCTATTCATTTTTTTCACTATAACTTCCCGTATACACTGTGTAACCAGAATCAATCACCAAACCTACTTTCGTAAGGCCTTGGCTCTGCTAAATATTCCGTGACACAACAATAACAACACACCATATCCAACTCCGACTGACGACCTCCGTGGTCGAGTGGTTTGTACGCCGGGTTTCATGGTGTCGCCAACTCGAGAGGTCCCGAGTTCGAATCCCGGTGGGGGCAGATGTTTGTGTGATGAATACGAGCATTTGTACTCCAGTCATGGATGTTTAATATGTATTTCTATATAAATATACTTATATATGTACTGTATATGTATTCTATCCGTTACCCTAGTATCCCATAACACAAGCCTTACAGTGCTTACTTTGGGGCTAGGCTAATTGGTGTGAGTGTTGGAAATATTTATTTATTTATTTATAACTTCTTATATTGAGGCCACAGAACAAGAACTAATCAAGGCATTATTTGCAAATCTTGTCTTGTCACAAATTTAAAAGAAAGACGCACGCGTGGTGGATAGACTTGAGACTACTCTCGCTCACTGCGCTTTGCACCGCGGTAGGTAGGTAGGGTGGCTTTGTAGGTAGGTACTCAACGGCGGGAGCGGTCATTGCTCCCGGCCGCCCGTCTTCTGTTTTTACGTTTTTTTAGTAGTGCTTATTAGTGGTTTTTACTTACTCTGTATGCGTTTTTTAAAAGAATAATTATTTAGTATCTAAAAGGAGGAAAGGACTAAAAGTATAACAAAAAAAAAATGGGTGCGTGTACTTATGTAGGCGCGTGAGAAGTTATCCTTCTTTGGTATCGTTTAAAATTAGTTTTTAATTGCATGCAAATAATTAATTACAATAAATTAATAAAAAGTCTGGAAAAGGACACAGTCAATAAAGTTCAGTTTTAATTTGAAAAAATAAATAAATAATCAAAATATTCAATTAAAATCGCTACTGAATATAATTTATTAGAACATATGTGATTTGCACTTGTATGAAACTCAAACACGTATTCCGAATATACAAACTAGAAACATGTGGATAAATATTATAAATATGAATACCTAAACTGTTACTTTATTACAAAAAATAAAGATGTGGTTTTTGGTTCTACTACACCAATGGTCAAGAGATGGCGCTGTAGTCTCCTGAATCGTGCTTTGGTTCCGTTGTTCCAGATTAATAAATACTTTTGATATTATAAATATGAATACCTATAACTGTTACTTTATTACAAAAAATAAAGATGTGGTTTTCGGTTCTACTACACCAATGGTCAAGAGATGGCGCTGTAGTCTCCTGAATCGCGCTTTGGTTCCGTTATTCCAGATTAATAAATACTTTTGATAGGCCTTCACAATGCAGTCGTTAGCACCCACTAAATAGAGATTCATGCATGAAGTTGGTCGCTAAAGCGACCAACTTCATGCTGTTAATTTTTTGTGTTACAGTGATGCGCGCGCATCTTAAAATTTCACTCTCATCATTTTTTCCTAACGCGCCTAAAGAAGTATAACTTCAAAAAAACAAAATTTTATTTTAAATAATTTTTAAATAATCCGAATAAATTCAGAGATACTCTGTATAATTATGTAACCCAACACTCCCACGGAGTTTCATTAAAACATTCAATTTCACCCTATATAAAAAGTAAACGTGAGTGTCGTGGAACACTCGGTTGGGAGTGAAGTTAAAAATATTTATTTACCACCCGCTAATCTTCACTGAGGCCGATTGGTAGCCCACCAATTCGCCCGAATGACGAGTCATGGCCCAGTCCATAACGGATACAATACATTGAACTGGTACATACATACTTAGGCCCGTATTATAGAAAGATTCTCAGTGATTGATCTAGTCTTGAGCATAGTTAGAAAGGGATGTCGCTATATATAGCACATAGAGACATCCGTTTCTAACTGTACTCAAGTATAGATCAACACTTAGTTATCATTCTGTAATACGCGCCTTAAAAATTGTTAACGGCAGACACAAATTAAATTGACAACATATTTTATTTTTTAGATTATCTTTGAGTCGAGGGGTTTATTTTCAAATTTCCAATTTAATTTTCATCATCATCATCATCAGCCTATTAATGTCCCCACTGCTGGGGCACAGGCCTACCCTATAGATGGAATAGGGAGATTGGGCCATGACCCACCACGCGGGCCCAGTGCGGGTTGACGGGTGCTAACGACTGAACCAATGGCTTAACGTGCCTTCCGAAGCACGGAGAAACTCGAGATAGAAGATTTTTGGTCACCCATCCAATGACCGACCACTGTGAAAGTTGCTCTACTTCAACGATCGCAGCCGAACGCGCTAACCACCTACGCCATCGAGCTCGAGTAATTTAATTTTGCTTGTTGTTACTATGTAATTAAAAAAGGTTTACCTCTTACCACCTGATAATTACAACCCGTTTCCGCAGGGTGAAAGTGGCTGTGGCCCGAAAAGATTCCGCGATACAAGCACTGACTCGCGAAGCCGCCAAATATCAAGAGAAGGTGGCTTTACTGGAACAAAAGCTGCAGCAGCAGCGGAAGGACTTCCTCAAACACAAGTGAAATGACACTGACAAGGTTTAACATTATGCCCTCTAGTTTTTGTTTTAAGCATTTAACTGCTAAATGTTTATTATGCCCTCTATTTAATATTCAACAACTAATCTGACCCCACTTTCCTTCCCCTTTATTAAAAACAGAGACTAAGTTTGGATTATTTTAGTTTATAGTACTATTTTTTTATATATATAATTTATTCATGACAATGGATACAAGTCCTTCAGTCGTATACATAAATACAAATCTTAATCTTCTTTTTTTTAACATTAGAATGTCGGTGGGACACATTCTATTGTTTCTCGGAGTGTTTGGCACGAAATGTATCGAGTTGGTTTTTTCGATAAGCTTCTGTGAGGTAGTCAACACTACAATAAAGTTCTCACGTCCACTTGACCGGAATAGAGTATATTTTAAAGATTCCACTAATTCTTCAGTTGCGCAGATTGTTGTAACACGAAACCACACCAATTTTATTTCACAATATCCACTATGAACGAATTTAAGAATAGTTAAAATAAGACGTCAACCGCACTCGATGAAATCCCGCCAAAAACTCTTATAGTACTATAGTAGCGTTGCCATCTGAAAAAAAACAGAAAACCAGACTTTCCCGCTAAATGAATAACTTCTGGGTCTCACGGCCGGTGGGACGCCAAATAAAGTGTTTTTTAACTAAATGTTTAAATAAAACACATGTATTTTATAAGAAGGTTATAATAGGTTTTATTCCTTTTTAATTGCATATTTAGCCAAGTGTATGCAGCTTGCTTGCCTCAAAAGAAAATAAGCCTAATAAAAGCCGGACGGGCCGGACGTAGTAAAATTGGCCCGGACAAGAGATCAAAATGTCTGACACTGTCCGGCTTTATCCGGCTACGCTACACTTGAGTGGTATGAAAAAAACACGGCGTAAATAGACTAAGCTTTATTCCTCGTGTTGAATAAGGGGGGTTGAGTGTAAGAGTCCAGATTTTGATTATATACACGCCTTGATACCGTTGAAATGGCCCAAAAAATCCTTTAAATACTTCAGAGATATGCGCGTCGCTTAACACGCACAATCACTGCTTTCAAAAAAAAACGAGCGAGCCTTACAGTAGTCGCGTATGATGTGTAACATTTGAAACCTCACCTTATATTAGTAAAAAAAGAAATAAAACCTACTACAAAAGCAATAAGCCATTTGAACATCTTGTTCTATAATCGAATCAAACAGCGGGCGCTTGCCAAACTTCCTGTTACGCACTTCCGTCCCACTTCATGTAATCACTCCCACAAATTGCACGAAAGCGAGTGGAAAGATGTTACACATCAAAAACACGGCGTATGTAGTCTAAGCTATTTCCTCGTTTATTAATTAGGCGGCTTGAGTCTAGAGTCTAGATTTTGACTAATACGCCTTGATACCGTTGTAACGGCCCAAAAAATCCTCTATAATACTCAATGCAGATATGTTCGTCGCTACACACGCACACATTGACTGCTTTTAAACAATCTGACGTTAGAGTCACGCACACATAACACGTTACAACATGTTACACATAACACGTAACATGAGCTGTTTTATTTGCGTGTTTTATATGGATTGTTCCTATCTATAATTATAGATATTATTATTATATATCTATTCAACTTCCTCTATGACAAGAGGTAACCAAGTAAACATATATCTAAAGAAATTTTTACTAGAAAAAAATACACGCGGACCATTCGGCAGACTGGATTCCAACCCGGCACCCTCCGCTATCCGGGCGGATGCAGTGACCATTATGCTACCGCGGCCCTTTTTTATTGTTGGGAAATGCATGACGCATATGCCACCCCTTTTTTTTTATTACGCCGGTAAAAAATCTTTTTACAGACGACGGCGCCTGTAACGGACCTCACACCTTGCTCCCGCAAGTCTTACGGACCCCCCAGTGACTGCCCACCTGCGACCCCGCTACCCTTTAAACCGGGAGCTTTACGGCATAATATCCGCTAAAAAAGTCCTGCGAATACCTTCACTACTGCCTGATGCGGAGCCGCGGGATCCCCTTGGTGGGATTTCTCCGCATCCCCGCACCTAGCAGCCTCCCGGCCTAGCCGGGGCTCCACGGCAGGGGTTTCCCGAGGTACTGCGGGGACCCCGTAGACGTGCGCAGGTAGGCCCGCGCATGGGGGCTGGGTACGCGGCCTAGTGCCCACCAATATGCCACCCCTGGGTGAGAGACAGAGTTATGTGGGACTCCTCCCGCTCAGCCAGACCGGCTCAGCGGCTGCTCGGGATGATGAGAACTACTCACTAAAAACCCACATTGCTTCCTCGCTTGCCGGAACGGGTTTCGTGGGATCCTGGTGACTCTCCACGTTAGGGTTCCCCCGGCAGGGGTTCCTCCTCCTCAGTGTTGCCATCAAGTTTGACAGAGTTGCCGTATTCGATACGTCAGATTGCGATATTAACTAAATTATTTATTAAAATTTATAGGTAGTTAGTAACTAATTAATAGTAACTTTTTTTTTTTTTTTTTTATAGATAGGTCCGACAAATGACTCCACTTCACCTTATGTTAAGTGAAGGTGAAGTCCAGACGTGACGATAGCTGATACAGCAGTTTTACCTGCCACACCAGCCATCCTCACCCTGCCGGCCTGCATGTTGCTTCTTCACGCCTCTTTTAAAGGATCCCAGGTTGTAAGAGGGAGGGAACACGTGAGCGGGCAGAGCATTCCATTTACGGATAGTGCGACAAAGAAATGAGTCACCAAATTTCTTTGTACGCGTTGGAATTGTGGCCACAGTTAGACGATGACAACGTAGGCCAGCGCGCGTGGTCCTCTGAAGGAAAGGAGAAGGTGGGATAAGAGAGAATAACTCCTCAGAACACTCGCCGTGGTACAGACGATAGAACGCGCTTAGTGACGCCACGTCACGGCGTAATTGAAGAGGCTCAAGGTGTTCAGTCACCTCCTCATCGCCTATGATGCGGATCGCGCGTCGCTGTAACCTATCCAAAGCATCGAGCAAGTACTTGGCGGAGCCATCCCAGAGGTGCGAGCAATATTCCACGCAGGACCGCACTTGCGTTTTGTACAACAAGCACAGTTGATCGGGCGTGAAAAAACGCCGCACCTTGTTCAGGACTCCGAGTTTGCGTGAAGCTGTTTTGATCACGGTTTCGATGTAGTTCTTTGGATTCAGGTCTGAGCGAACTTCCATACCGAGCATGGAAATGTTGCTCTGCAGCGGTAGTGTTGTGCCCTGAAGAGATGGAAGGGGAAGGAATGACGATGTTTTTGCCGTGAAAGCGCAAGCCTGAGTTTTTTTGGCATTGAACTCAACCAAGTTCCTGGTACCCCATTCGGAAATGTGGTCCAAAGCCTGATTGAGTTCAATGACAAGATTCTCGCGTTTCTCCTTGGTTACCGCCAGCCCAGCCGCTGCTTGTCCGAGATACCCCGCATGCACTGTACTATCGTCTGCATAGCAATGAATATTCCCAAGAGGAATTAAGTCATTGATATGCAGCAGAAAGAGAGTGGGGGATAGGACGGAGCCCTGGGGAACGCCGGCATTCACTGACATGAACCGCGAACTGCTACCATCCGTAAGGACACGAATTCTACGCTCATGCAGGAAGTCAGCTACCCAAGAACAGAACTGGGCTGGCAGACCGTATGCCGGAAGCTTGGAGAGAAGGCTTTTGTGCCAGACCCTGTCAAACGCCTTGGCAATGTCAAGGCTGATAGCCAACGTATTTATTGTAAGTTTATTGTAAGGGAAACAAATAAAAAATTAGCCTCCGGTGGCAATCCTCGCGAGGGCGAGGGGTATAAAAAGTCTCGTTGCCCAAACCGTTACAGCGATGGTTGGTCTCTCGGCTTGGCTTATTTATTTATTAGCACTTACACATGCCAGATTACAGAAAGATCCAGAATTCCGGCAAGTCATACTAAATTCGTTTCAATCATTAAACAATTCAGTTTAGACTTGCAACGAATAGTATATTCGGCAGTATACCGAATATTCGGCGAGGCTCCTGACCGAATAGCCAAATATTAGGCAAAAGTTTTGGGCTGGATTTTAGCGCCAAAAACTGTGATTGTTCCGCGCTCCTTTGTTTTGTTCAAATCTGCCGTCCTCAAGCTAAAATGCGGCTATACGACAAAACCAACTTTTGAGATATGGCCAAAAACGGCGCGTAAACTTTAAATTACTGCTATTATGTCCATTCATCACATGACTGAATGAATTAAAAACTGTTAACTTTGTTTAATACAGAAAATGATTAAATAGGATAAGGAAGATGAAGGTTAACGAAAAGGTGCCATATACAAACTATATTCACTATCGTAACCCATTCCTATTATATAAATTGGGGTCATGGGGGAATCGCAATCTTCCTTAACAATCCATCATACGGCCAAACAATCAATGTAAGCTTCGCGTGTCTGTACATTGAATAGATTTGCAAAAAAACATTGTTTGGGGGTTTTTTAATTTTAATTAGTCAATAAAGATTATTCTTAATAATAATAATATTAAGAATAATCTTTGTGACAAGTGCCTTATACCCTAGTAGATATCATAATAACGATGGTAAAGCGGCCATCTACTATGCGTACAGTGGCCATCTACTATGCGTACAGTGGCCATCTACTATGCGTACAGTGGCCATCTACTATGCGTACAGTGGCCATCTACTATGCGTACAGTGGCCATCTACTATGCGTAAAGCGGTCACCTACTTTGCGTAAAGTTTTCTAGGGGAGTCAGAAGGTCGTTGCGAGTTTTATATTATACCTACTTATTTAAGTATGTGGTTACAATTTTTTTCTTTTTAACACATGAGATACCCCCCCACATGTTAGGAGGTCAGTATAAGTTTTATTTATTTTGAACTAGTCATAATTTTACCTTTATTTATTAATATGTACTTAGTTATAATTTGACAGTAAGATATTAAGGTCAGATTCTCAAAAAAGGGTTGTTCATAAAGATAGACAAAATAGATGATATCTATTAGATAAGCAATCAGAGCTGAACGTTTTACTGTCATGTTCCTTGCCTACAATAGGGGTGATGACGGGGTACAGTAAACGAAATTCTATTTAGGCCGATGATCAAAAAATAATGGACACGTATTTTTTCTTTGGGCAGTCAACCAAAAAATGACAAAGTTATAGGACGTCAAAGTTTGGGAGTAGGGGCTCGTGACGTCACTTTTGAGTGAATTTTCACTAAGAATTTTCTTTTAAGTGTACTCAAACGTGACGTCATGCGACTTTTCAAATCAATATATCTCTGCAATGCTTATATTATGTGAAAAAAGAAAAAATACGTGTCCAATACTTTTTGATAATCTACCTGATAAACGAAGAAAAAAAAATTAGTCATCATCCCTATTATGTTTGGGGTGTTAATGTTTTACTTATATTTTATTGTTCCGTTAGTGATGTATCGAATGTCTCTCCTTTTGGAAATCTCTCCTTCTAAAAAGGAAGGAAAATAATAAATTTTGTAATTGTAAAATTATGTGATTAGTTGTATGTGATTGTATTCCGTCCACTTAAATTATGTTTATTTATTAATTACGCCTTGTAACGTAATGCCAATTAATAAAGTGCTTATTTTTTCACAATTAATAAGACATTTTTATTTAAAATCCAAAATTGTTGCTTGTGTTTCTCCTTGTTATTCTTTTTTTATTTTATCATCATCAGCAGCCATATTAATGTCCCCAATGCTGGGGCACAGGTCTTCCCTATTGATGGAATAGGGAGGTTGGGCCATGGCCTACCACGCGGGCCAAGTGCGGATTGACACCCGCTAACGACTGCAGATGCAGGTCGGAACTAACGGCTTAACGTGCCTTCCTAAGCGCGGAGGAACTCGAGATAGAAGATTTTTGATCACCCATCCAACGACCGACCACTGCGAAAGTTGCTTAACTTCAACGATTTCATTCGATCGCGCAAATCTATCCTTTCGCGGGCCTGCTGGAAGAAATTTCAATATGATATGAGCAGTGCCCTTGTGTACAAGGATATGTATATCTCTTGTTTCTTAAATATTTAATTATGTGTACAAAATGTATAAATTGTTTTCCGATACATATCGTGCCGTGATCATCATCGTCCATCCCTACTGTAATTTGTTGGTACAATTTCTAATTCCGTAGAACAAAGGTCACAGCTAATGAGCTTGGTAGTGCTATAGTAGATCTAATGAGCTGCGATCTTAAGGCAACACGACGAAGTTCACGATACATTGATTGATCAATTTTAAGAGCAATCAGGTGTTGAACACCTGTTTATTTATTTTCAAACAGTTGAGAAAGCATGAATGGTAAAAGAGATAGGTAATAGATATGACAGTTACATATATTATTACAGCCACTTGGAGCACAGCTCGTGTATTGACAATTGTGTGTACTCCACCACCCTCTAGACCCTGGCTTAAGAAGAGCTGATTTTCTAAATGGGCGGAGTTATTACCAGTGGAAACTCCGAAAGTTAAAGTCTTCACTTTAACGATCTAAATAGTTTACATAAAATTAAATCCTTTCCTCACGCTCGTGACGCATAGGTGCCTCACCATCACATTAAACATCAGAAATAAAACGATTTTCAGCTAATTTTATTCACCAGCTCATAAACTTGTTTCTCGTTAATAACACGATTAACAAAATCCATGAATTGAAAAACAAAATTGTATAAAACTTTAAAAATATTTCTTTAATATAGGCACATATATATTTCTATACATCTTTTAATATAATCGAATACCACACAGGTAAAGTTTAAAGCTTCGTTTACAACAACAAAATAGAGATTTTGTCAACATTATTTACAATCATCACCAAGGTCTCCACATCTCAGTATTACTCGTGCCCTGTTCCGGTGACCGCGAATTCCTCGGACTCGTGTCGGGTTCTGTGTTATCCTGGACCGCCACGCTTTGGGGAAGTCTGGTGGAAGATCGGGCTAAAGATTTGGCAGTGTGGCTTATCACAGTTCGCGGTATCGCCAAAGGAACTTCAGCGTTAACAACGATTCTATTTTCTAACAGGGGCCTCTCAATTGGCGTAACTATACTCTCAGGAATAGTCAATTTCCTCTCTTGGTACGTCACCGGTTTCTCGGGAACTCTTCTGAAGGCTGACCTCTCCGGGGACTTCTTTACACAAGGCACGATACTGTCAATTGACTTTTCCGATACGTTCACGATTGCTTCCGGCTCCAGTCTTATCACTTTCGTCACAGGTCCCATCGAGTCAACGACTGGTCTCTTTAGTTTGCTCCTCATCGAGTAGTCCACTGCCCTTTTCGGCGAAGCGTCAATCCCTATCTTATAGTTTTCCACGTCTATTATTATCGAAAGAGGTTCCATATATTTTTTGTTCCTCAAAACATCTTGTTTCAACGCCTCCGGCGATATGGTCGTGGACGACACTGTCGCTTTTTGAGTTTCAGGACTGGAGTCTTGATCCGATGCTGATCTACTAGGAGGAGTGGGGAAAGGGAACGTTTGGACTGGCCTAGGTGGAGTTTCAAGTTCTGTCGAAGAGTCGCACGCGGAATCGCAGGATAAAGGGCTTAGTGGGGGACTCGTGGGTTTGGTGGATCTGACGAAGTGGAACGCGCTCGGTCTTTCGTCTTCTAGTCTTAAAGGGTCTGGTACTAGGGGATAGTCTGGTGGGTTTAAGCGTTCGATGCCCGAGATGCAGGTGTTGAGGTGGTTGCCTAGTCGATGGCGGAGGCCTGTGGGGACGCTAGCGAGACGGGAGAGGTATCTTCGGACCTCAACCGCGCAGTCCCCAAAGCCAGCCTTGAAGCGATGCAGTACGGCCGGGTCCGCTGCGATGGCGGCTGCCAGCTGCTGTCGCTGCAATGTCTGCAGGTGCTTGACAGTAAGCTCCAAGATATCGGCTTTCTCCAGCTTGGAGTGACGTGTCGGCTGCAAAGAGTAAACAAGAGTTATTTAAGTCTTATAAGATTCTTATTAGAATAGATAGAAAACGTTTCTTTTTGTTATTATTTAAGAATTATTTCTGAATTGATAAGAAAACAATAATAAAATATTATTAATTCTATATTTATCCTATATTAATCTATTTTATAGAATTTTCGAATATATTAATGAAATATTTCGGTTCCTAATTAAAGTCTGTAGTGAGCCCAGAAAAAAGAATCTTATTTTTAGAGGTGATGCAATAAATACAACAAAATAAAACACCTCTTTTCATAGAATCCTATAATCCTATCGATAAATTGAATCTGTGTTATTATTTACATATAACTTCTTTTCATATGTCATATGAATATAGGGAAAGAGGTAAAAGCCACAAAGGATTATAAAATTTACTTACGTCTGCGTTAGAGGAATCCATGAGGAGGTCCTTCAATTCGTTGAGACACTGATTGATGCGCGCGCGACGTTTTTTCTCCATAATCGGTTTATTGGTCTGGAAACATCAAAAATGCAGCTGTTCACATTGTTGTATGTGTTTATGTCAGTAAAGACCTTAGATTAGTTTGCGATTAAAATCTCGACGAAAGAATTTCTGCACCATTCTTAGTAAACATTATATCTATGTAAAAATTATCATGAGATGGTTTAGGTGTCACTATACGTCATTCACTGAACCTAATGATCACTTTAACGCACCTCTTTTGCAAAAAAAAAGGAATAACCAATGTTTTATCATTTAATTGAAATCTGAATCACAACTGATAAATACTCTTATTTCACACTTCACGTATCCTCACCTTCCTCAACTCCGCTTTAGATAATCCTTTGGTATCAGCACTAAAGCCGGTTTGGGAGTCATCATCTTCACTACACGGCATTTTCCGAATTTCCCTCCACTAACTTTGTCACAAATATCACACACGTCTGCCCACCGCGAGGGCTCTATTCATAATGTTTATGTGACCTGCGCGAGCGCATAGCAAAATTCAAATTGCCCCTGTTCCCGTTCCATCCTGTTTGAGAAACGCAATCCCTATTGTATAGCTGTCTTTGTCACTCCACAGCGTTGGTACGGTGGGAACTGTGTCGGAATGTTTTGTTTTCGTTCTGTCTCGCTCTTTGGGGGAACCTGTTGATGTTATCGCCATACGTGTAGTGGTGAGAGTGTAGGTGGGTTGCAGTTCGATTATTGGCGATGTTATGATGGATATTTTACGAATATTTAATTGACTTTACTGTTTAACTATAACGTTTTATTTATTAGGATTTATTTACAAAAGTTTGCATATTTTCGTTCATAATTTTAAATGAATCCCAAAAGACAGTTATTTTGATTTTGGGTTAAAAAAATTATTTAAATTCTAATAAGTTTTTCAGACCATTTAAAAACAGCATCACTTGGAGGGAAAAAGTTTCTTCGCATTTTATATGAAAATTTAAATCATTTTTAATAAAGTTTATTTACATTTAACTAAAGTATGTAGGTGTCATTTTGTTCGATACCTTTTTGCCATCTTGCAGATAGGGGCATGACCCCATTGCTATAGTAATTTTGGGGCTACTGATCAAAAAACCGCGACAAGTGGTTTTGGCAGTCCTCTCGTTATATTAACTGACACTGCCTAAAGAATTCTGGAGAGCCCGAAACAGATGGAAATTTGCAGGTGCAAGGTCAGGACTATACGGCGGATGCATTAACACCTTCTAGTCTAGACACTATAGGTCCATAATGATCACAAATTTTTTTCGCGCCTTGCGTTGCATTTTTATCTTTATTGCAGTAAAAATTTAAAATGTATCGACTTTCTTCACTGGATTCACTCATCTTGACAGTAAGAAAAACAAATGAAAATAACATATTTTTCTAATTTGAATTACGAATTATCTTCTTTTAAGTTTAAATTTTTTATTGATACCAAAACCAGCCAGATACAAATGGTATAGCCAAACAGATTTAATTACTACTATTTTTATTTTTATTAAGGTCCTACATACATAAAAAAATAAAAAATATATAACGCGAAAATATTTTTTCCCCAACCTGTTAATATTTTAGTAAACTATTATGCCATACCATAACCATAATTTTCAAAACTTAAAAATATTTTTTCATAATTTCGTTCATTTGAAATAGTGAAGCTACCAACGGCACTCCCTTATCCTGTATTGTATGGGAATGCAGGACCGCACGCACGTCCATCAAGATCGCTATTATTTTGTCCCCAGCCCGGCCACAAAAAACGTTATATTTTATGGACTCGCTCGCACCTTTCCATAAAGGACGGCAATTATGTAGGGCGCCGCTTAGGGAATTTAACTCGATACTTCATGTGTGCGGTGTCCCGTGAAGGGTAGATTATGAAGTTGCGAGTTTTTTTTCACCGTGTAGTTTGTCGTAGTAACCTCGTTCTTTATGGACAAGGGTGTATAGCAGCGGGTTTCTCACGGTGTGTGAGAATGTGCCAAGGTGCAAGGGTTTGCTTTTGGTGTCTTGTAATGTTGTTTATTGAACACTTCACGTTAAGCGAACTGAGAGTTTCAGTAAACAAAATTATTTGTTTATCTATCTACGGAAGTTTATATGGATATTAAAATGAAATGACAGAATTGAAAAAAAAAATAACACAGTGATGGCCAAAAGTTTATTTATTTCAAACCTTATAACTAAATGAAATTCAAAATAAAATTGTGTTGTATTATGCGATACATCTCATTGTATTAGTATTGAGTACAAACAGCTGAAGTTTTAATCTAAATATTCTTATTTAGAAATTTTTAAATTTGATTTAACAATGTAATAATTTATTATATTTTAATTTTACTGCTACATGTTAAATGTAATATTTTACTCAAATGATCAAAATTTTGTTTATTTATGTCGCAATACAAATTCTTCGTATTTGCTCTATGGTCTGATATTTATTATAAGCTTATAAATATTACATTAATGATGTTATTATCATTATTTGTGCACTATATTGTTGGGTCATTCATTCATTAGTCACGTCCTTAACCCGCCCTATTTAATGTCCGTTTCATTCCCATTGCTAGAGATCCAGGTGTATTTAATGACCTTTGTGTCCCCACATACCTTCATACACGTCATGCATTAAATAAATATTTAATTAGACTTTAAACTTTCTCCCACGGTCACCGTGAAAATAATATACAAACTCATAGGAAATCAATCGGAACATCCCATTTTAAACCGTAATGCATTAAAGTAAGGAAAATTAAAAAGCATTTTTAAAAAAGGTCTCGATGAAAATTTTTATACGGGCTTGCAAAGTTTTGTGCTGTTACATTTGCAACTCAATGTTTATGCAGCTACAGTTCGTTTTTCGTTATTTGGGTTGTCGTAAGGACTATCGATGTATGACGGTATTGCATGTGATCGCGTGATGAACCACGAGGTGAATAACTTTGTCATATGTCGCTGACGTGTTAAACAGGGGATGGACAGTGTGAGAAAAAGTTTTACCGTACCTAATTGAAAATATAAATTATCAATTTTGACTATAATACCATATTATTATTATCTTTTAAAATTTACCACCTTAAACGTTTTGCAACGGAATTACAGATTTGACGTAAAAGATCTTAAAAAACATGTCATTACGTAACCACAGTTCTGCAAATGTAAAATCTTACATCCCAACTTAGCTTGTTCGATTCAAAACTCTATCAAAAATTCGAGCGCTTTTTTTAGATTTATAAATAAATATAAAATCTTGTAAATAAATACATAAATAAAAACAGCATATTTTTTTTTATAAAGCAAGCATCCATAGAGATTAAAATACAATTATCTTTTAATACAGCCAAAGTCCATAAAGATTTAAAAGTGAGATTCGGAAAAAAAACAAAATTCCTTCCGGATCATATCGGGCGTGTGAATCTCGTTTCGATATTGTTGTGTGAGCTTAACGGGCCGGCTTCCTTCCTCGGAGATCGAGGGATGTTAGTAATTTATTAACTCATAAAAACTCAAGGATCTGGGTCGGCGGGGATGCGGACGTGTCTATGTGTGCTTTCTCACAGTGGTTAGGTCAGTTTGTAAACACTCAATTTTAAAGAAATATGATACTTTTATATACCTATAAAATATACCTATAAAAGTATCATATAGTAGTAGTTTACCGATAGTGAAAACTTAATTTAACATCAGTCTCTTCTTTGCATTCTGTATAATCTATAATGTCAAATTTAATGAGGTTTCGAGAATCATGCCAGAATCAACACCTCTATCAACAAAGTTATGGCTGGATCACCATTTTTCGATATATGACCGATTCCTTGACCAGAGGGTAGTCCTGCCCTTTTGTTCTTGTTCACAAATCACAATCCATTGCACAAAAATTAATAACAGAAGTATGTAGTATCCCTTTACATACTGCTAAGTATAAGTAAAAGAAGGTCTTATTGTTTCTTTCTCGTTGGTCAAATAGACAAGAGGCGGGATGACGCTAACACTCATCTAGACCAAGCAAAATAATTTTGAAACAGATAAAGCGATGACTATCAGGCAATTTGATGTCAGACCCACTATAAGTTTATTCTCTTAGAATCATTGAAAAAAGTTAACGTTGACTTTCGCTTAAATGTACGTGTCCCTGGAAACAAACTTGTTGTTTTCAGAACAAGAATTTTTAACGTGATAGATTTTGCCGTCTCTCTGTAAATTATGTCACGTAGGTATTGACGTTACACTATTTGTAGTTCTGCGCATAGACTTTGGATTTTCTTATAATTTTACCAAAACATTTCTTAACCCCTTGTCTGTGTAAGTGGATGATTTCTGCCACGAGTTCAGATTATTATTTTCATTTTTCAGATTTTGCGTTTTATCTTATTGAGTAATGGTTTTTAATTTACACATCTAATATATAGATAAGTTTGTAGAGTAACTATTCAGGATTGATTCAAGACTTTTTTTTTTATTTTCAAGCCGGGAAAAACAAAGGCGAGGGCTACACAGACCATATTGAAGATAGGATATTTTACTGAATTAAGACATCATTTTATTTTTAACTAGCGGCCCGCCCTCGCTTCGCTTCGATGTAGAGCTGTAGTGTAGATTTAAATGACTCTTCATATAAGTAATTATAACTTATAACTGAAAATGGTAGGTATATTTGCTTTTTCCAAACTTCTATTTACATCACGTCGCTCAATTGTTTTGCCTTACCAGAATCTCTCCACTAACTTTTGAAATTTATGGTATGGTATTAAAGTTCAAATTGACTTTTGAATATTATTACGAATCGTTTGTATGGGAGTATAGGAAAGTGTTATTTTTGGACATTTTCAGTCAATTTTCCATCCTACCAACCATCCACGTACTTCAAGGAATATTCTAAAAAAAGAATTATCGAAATCGGTTCAGCTTTTCTCGAGATTTGCGCTTAGCAACACATTCAGCGATTCATTTTTATATTATAGATAATAAGAAGAACTTCATTCACAGAATTTTTAAAAAACGCCTGCCACAACCGAGGAATCAAACTCGTAAAATGTGAAAAAAAAACATGACTTATTTTATGATAGCCGTCGAAAGGGTAAATTATAAGTAAGTATTATGTTTTTCTAAATAACATAGCACTTTAAAAGTGTGGAAGATCATGAAATTAAAGTTTTGTTCAGACGAATTTCCTCTGCCTTTTCCGTGCTTCCAACAGCTACATTAACATTTCAAATTATTTATTAACTATTAGCTGCTCACTTGTTCCTTCAATTCATTTATGTAGCTAATTGTTATTTACAAAATTATCATAATATGTTATCTGTATGGCCATTCATTTTAATGTTTAAAAGACATTTTTATGTTGTACAAGTGGATAATAAACTCCATTTATTTAGTTTTGATGAATTCGGCGTATTGTTCTACACATAAATGCATGATAATGCTTTCGGTACAAAATTAAGCAGAGTTGTATGGAG